TCAGCTTTAGCATCAGTCCTTCCAATGAACACCCAGGACTGATCTCCTTTGGGATGGACTGGTTGGATCTCCTTGCAGTCCAGGGACTCTCAAGTCTTCTCCAACACCACAGTTTAAAAGCATCAATTCTTAGGCTCTCAGCTTTCTTTATAGTCCAACTCTCACATCCATACATGACCACTGGAAAAACCATAGCCTTGACTAGACGGACCTTTGTTGGCAAAATAATGTCTCTGCTTTTTAATATGCTGTCTAGGTTGGTCATAGCTTTTCTTCCAAGGAGCAAGCGTCTTTTAATTTCATGGCTGCAGTCACCATCTGCAGTGATTTTGGGGCCCCAAAAAATAAAGTCTGACACTGTTTCCACTGTTTCCCCATCTATTTGCCATGAAGTGATGGGACTGAATGCCATGATCTTAGTTTTTTGAATGTTAAGCTTTAAGCCAACTTTTTCACTCTCCTGTTTCACTTGCATCAAGAGGCTTTTTAGTTCCTCTTCACTTTCTGCCATAAGGATGGTGTCATCTGCATATCTGAGGTGATTGATACTTTTCTCGGCAGTCTTGATTCCAGACTGTGCTTCATCCAGCCTGGCATTTTGCACAATGTACTCTGCATATAAGTTAAATAAGCAGGGTGACAGTGTACAGCCTTGACATACTCCTTTCCTGATTTGGAACCAGTCTGTTGTTCCATGTCCAGTTCTAACTGTTGCTTCCTGACCTGCATACAGACTTCTCAGGAGGCAGGTCAGGTGGTCTGGTATTCCCATCTCTTGAAGAATTTTCCAGAGTTTGTTGTGATTCACACAAATGATTTGGCATAGTCAATAAAGCAGAAGTAGATGTTTTTCTGGAACTCTCTTGCTTTTTCTGTGATCCAGCAGATGTTGGCAATTTGATCTCTGGTTCCTCTGTCTTTTCTAAATCCAACTTGAACATCTGTAAGTTCACGGTTCATGTACTGTTAAAGCCTGGCTTGGAGGAGTTTTGAGGATTACTTTGCTAGCGTGTGAGATGAGTGCAATTGTATGGTAGTTGGAACATTCTTTGGCATTGCCTTTCTTTGGGATTGGAATGAAAACTGACCTTTTCCATTTCTGTGGGCACTGCTGAGTTTTTCAAATTTTCTGGCATATTGAATGCAACACTTTCACAGCATCATCTTTTAGGGTTTGAAATAGCTAAACTGGAATTCTATCACCTCCACTAGCTTTGTTCGTAGTGAAGCTTTCTAAGGCCCAGTTGACTTCACAGTCCAGGATGTCTGGCTCTAGGTGAGTGATCACACCATTGTGATTATCTGGGTCATGAAGATCTTTTTTGTATAGTACTTCTGTGTATTCTTGCCACCTCTTCTTAATATCTTCTGCTTCTATTAGGTCTATACCATTTCTGTCCTTTATTGTGCCCATCTTTGCATGAAATGTTCCCTTGGTAGCTCTAATTTTCTGGAAGAGATCTCTAGTCTTTGCTTTTCTATTGTTTTCCTCTGTTTCTTTGCACTGATCACTGAGGAAGGCTTTCTCATCTCTCCTTGCTATTCTTTGGAACTCTGCGTTCAAATGGGTATATCTTTTCTTTTCTCCTTTGCATGTAGCCTCTCTTCTTTTCACAGCTATTTGTAAGGCCTCCTCAGACAACTGTTTTGCCTTTTTGCATTTCTTTTTCTTGAGGATGGTCTTGATCACTGCCTCCTGTACAGTGTCACAAACTTCCATCCATAGTTCTTCAGGTACTCTGTGTATCAGATCTAATTCCTTGAATCTGTTAATCATTGTGATTTTGGTATCGACCATCTGGTGATGTTCATGTGCAGAATCTTCTCTTGCGTTGTTGGAAGAGGATGTTTGCTATGACCAGTGCGTTCTCTTGGCAAAACTGTTCGCCTTTGCCCTGCTTCATTCTGTACTCCAAGGCCAAATTCTCCTGTTACTCCAGGTATCTCTTGACTAGCTACTTTGCATTCCAGTCCCCTATAATGAAAAGGACATCTTTTTTGAGTGTTAGTTCCGGAAGGTCTTGTAGGTCTTCACAGAACTGTTCAACTTCAGCTTCTTCAGCATTACTGGTCAGGGCATAGACTTGGATTACTGTGGTATTGAGTGGTTTGCCTTGGAAATGAGCAGAGATCATTCTGTCATTTTTGAGACTGCATCAAGTGCTGCACTTCAGACTCTTTTGTTGACTCTTTTGTTGAATGAGGGCTACACCATTTCTTCTAAGGGATTCCTGGCCACAGTAGTAGATATAATGGTCATTTGAATTAAATTCACCGAATTCCAGTCCATTTTAGTTCACTGATTCATAAAGTGTCTATCTTCACTCTTGCCATCTCCTGTTTTTTGTTTTTTTTTGCCATCTCCTGTTTGACCACTTCCAATTTACCTTGATTTATGGATCTAACATTCCAGGTTCCATTGCAGTGTTGCTCTTTCCAGCATCAGACTTTACTTCCATCACCGTCACGTCCACAGCTGGGTGTTGTTGTTGCTTTGGCTCCGTCTCTTCAGTCTCTCTGGAGTTATTTCTCCATTCTCCTCTTGTAGCATATTGGGCACCTACCGACCTGGGGAGTTCATCTTTCAGTGTCCTATCTTTTTGCCTTTTCATACTGTTTATGGGGTTCCCAAGGCAAGAATACTGAAGTGGTTTGCCGTTCCCTTCTCCAGTGGACCACGTTTTGTCAGAACTCTCCACCACGACCCATCTGTCTTGGGTGGCCCTACACGGCATGGCTCATAGTTAGACAAGGCTATGGTCCATGTGATCAGTTTGGTTAGTTTTCTGTTGTTGTGGTTTTCATTCTTTCTGCCCTCTGATGTATAAGGATAAGAGGCTTATGGACTCTTTGTGACCCCATGGACTGTATAGTCCATGGAATTCTCCAGGCCAGAATACTGGAGTGGGTAGCCTTTCCCTTCTCCGGGGGATCTTCCCAACCCAGGGAGCGAACCCAGGTCTCCTGCATTGCAAGTGGATTCTTTACCAGCGGAGCCACAAGGGAAGCTCTTCCTGGTTCACACAGAGTTTTTAATCATAAAAGCATATTGAATTTTATCAGAAGTTTTTCTGAATCAGTTGAGGTCTTCTGGTTTTCGTATTTAGTCTGTTGACATGTATTACATTGATTTCAAATATTGAACCAAACTTGCAAAGCAGCCCCCTTTGGCTATGGCACATTATGCATTGCTCTTGCTAATGCTTTGTTGGAGATGTTTACAGGAAGGAGTGCTGGTCTGTAGTCCCCTTTTCCCCTTTTTATGCTGCTTTTGCCTGTTGCTGGTGCTGGTACCAGGGCATTTACTAACCACGTAAAATGAGTTGAGAAATATTCTTTTCTGTTTTCTGGAAGATATTTTGTAGAGTTGGTGTTATTGGAGTTTTCTTTCTCACACGTTTTTAGTCATTAATTCAGCTTCTTTCTATGATCTGTTTGATGAGGATGATGGTGACTCTTGCCTGCACTGGCCGTCCGCGGCTGCACTGAGCTGCTCTAGCCTGGAGCTTGGGCCTGTCCCCGGGCGGCCCTCCTTGTTGCGGAGCGCGGGCTCCGGGCCTGGGGGCTCAGGAGCTGCTGCTCGCGAGCTTCGTCACCCAGTGGCATGTGGATGTTCCCGCAGCAGAGACCGAACCCGTGGTCCCTGAATCGGCAGGTGAATTCCTATCCCCCGGGCCGCCCGGAAAGTCCTCAGTTTCTTTAGTAGATCAGGCTGTTGTTCATCCTGCTGAGTTTGGGCAGATCGCAGCTGTCAGGGAGTTGATACTTAACAGTCTCGTTCTCAGATTTTGTGTCATCGGGTTCCCTGTAGGATCCCTCATCATGCCCTTCCACGTCCGTGAGCTCCGGAGTGATGTATCTTCTGATACAGGCCAGTTTTGCCCTCTCTCTCTTTTTCTTTTGTGTTCCTAGAGTTTTTAATCAAGTCTATTGCTCTTTCCAAAGAACCAGATTTGGGTTTTATTTTTCTCTAATTGTGTCTGTTTACAGTTTCATTGTTCTGCTTTTATTCTCCTTAATTCCTGCCTTCTCACTTTGGGCTTAATTTGCTGTTTTCCTGGTGTCTTAAGGTAAAGCTTAGATTGTGCACCGGAGAGTGTCTTTCTTCTCTACTGTAAGCATTTAATGCTGTGACTCCTCCCAGTACCACTTCCGCTGCATCCCACAGTTCTCGACAGTGTCCTTCCAGCTTGCTCTGTGCTGCTGCTGATTTAGCAGAGTGTGGTTGAGTTTCCCAGTGCCTGATGTTTTCCAGTCGTCTTCCCATCGCTGATTTCTAGCTAACTCCATTCTCGTCCGAGAACATAGAGTATGTGATTCCTGTTCTTAGCGTGTGTGTGGAGCATTGCTTCATTGCCCAGGATGTGGTCCGTCCTGGTGAACATGAACTCGTTTCGTGTGTCTCCTCTAGCTTTCGCCCTGGCCCCAGAGTCAGAGCAGCCCCTGTGGGTGGAGGGGCTGGGCTGGGGGCTGTGAGGGGGCCCCTGCCTTGGGAGGGGTCCTGCTGGAGACCCTGCTGGGGTCTCACTGCGGAGAGTCAGGGACTGTCGGGGCACACTGGGTCTCCATGCTGGAGTGGAGAGTTGGAGCATCTCCTGCCTGGGGGAGGCCTCATGTCTGTCTCCTGGCGCCTGTGGACCGGGTGGAGGGCGGATGCATCTCCGTGGACAGGAGATGGGGCAGGCGGAACCCTACAGAGGAGAGGGTGGGGCCCCAGGTGAACCCTGAGGGCAGGGTCCCTGGAATCCTGCAGCTGGGAGTGGGTCCCTGGGGGCTCTCCGGTCTGTGTCTTTGTGGGCTCTCGGCCCTGCCCGTCCGTGGACCCTCTGCAGGGGGGACTTGGTCCAACAGCCTCGGTGGCCTGGCTGGGCCTGGGTCTGCACGCGTCACCAGGGTGCTGGGGTCGGAGAGCCACGGTCCGCGGCGGCCCGGGCTCTGCAGGGTGGGGCGCGGGGCTCCGGAGCCCGTGGCCGCCGCTGAGCCTGTCTGTGCCCTCACAGGTTGTGCAGCCTGACCTTGAAGAAGCTCGTGGTCTTCAAGGAGCTGGAGAAGGAGCTCATCTCCGTGGTGATTGCAGTCAAGATGCAGGTGAGGGTTCCCCCTGGCGCCGCCCTGGGGCCCTGCGGGTGTGCGTGCTGCTGGGGGACAAGAGAGGGCCCTCTCCTGTGCAGACCGCACCCCTACCCGCCCCCCCCCCCCGCACGGTGAAGAGCAGGCCGCGCGGGCCCTAGGACAGGAGGAGAGCACGTGCTGTGCGCAGACCTTTGCTGCGGAGGCTCCAGCGCCAAAAGCCAGGCTAGAGACCTGCTCCCTACCCCAGGCCAAATGCGCTCCCAGGCCCTGGTGCCCAGCGTCCCTCGAGCCTCAGAGGCTCCCCTTCTGCCTTTGAGCAAGCGTTGTGTCTCGAGGGGCCGGGACCCCAGCCCTCAGTGCCCCCTGTGCCTGGCTGCCCTGGAAGAGGGGTCCTGTTAGCCCTGTGGGGGCCCTGGCCCTCTGGGGGTCTGGGTCCCACGTCCACTCGCGGGGCGGCTCTCGGCCCTTTGCTATAACCCTGCGGCGGGGGCCCTGCCGGGCCCACCACTGCGGCCCCGCCTGCCCCCCAGCGTGGCTCATGGGTGCCCATGGGCGGCTCCTTGAAGGGGGCACATTCCCGGTGGGGCCTGTCCTCTGAGGACCCCATCGGTCAGCCCCGCAGGGCAGAGTCGGGCCTCACCCCCCACTGCAGGCTGCTGGTGCCCCATTTGCAGCCAGCCTGAGCGCTCTGACCCTGAGGGTCTGGAAGGCTCCCAACGGGACCTCTGGGAGCAGCTCAGGGGCTTGGGACCGGGCTGCCCTCGGGACCAGAGGTCAGCGTGGAGCCCAGGGCCTGGGAAGAAGAGCTGTGTCCGAGGAAAGGCCCCTGGTCCCGAGGGGCAGCGGCACTCCCAGCTCACGGGGTGATGCCCACGCAGAAATTGGCCCTGCCAGCTCGCGGGCGGCCTGCTCTGCTTGGGGCCCCCTGGCCCGGGAACCTCTCTGGGTCAGAGCAGGGTGTGGACCCTCCCTGGCCCCCAGTACCTGCGCCGTTGACCTCTGACACAGCCGACCCCCAGCTGGGGCCCCGTCCCTCCAGCTGCCCTTCCCCAAGGTCCCGCCTGGACCCCGTCCCTATGGAGCATTCGGCCTCTGATGAGTCCAGGCCCCCTCACAGCCACCCCGCCCGTCCTGTCAGCTCACCTTGGCGCCCGCTCCACCCGCCTGCCCCCCACGTGGCCTCCTCACCGGCTTGTCCTCGGGCCTCCAGTCTACTCCCGGCTCCTCCACCACCCCCAGGCCCTCAGAACAGATGAGCTGGCCCCCTGACTGACCGCTGTGGTCGCTGCCGCCCCACCCGCATCCTTGCTGGGACCCCCATTCACCTGGCACAGGCCTGTCCATTCAGGGCCTGACCCAGACAGGCTCAGGGGTGCAGGGAACTTGGGGCTATGGCTGTGATGGGCACAGGGGCAACGCTGGGGGTGGGGGGAGCGCCAGGCCACAGGGGTGTCCGCCCTCTGAGCGTGCGGGGGTCCGGCGGAGCAGCCATGGGCAGAGCTGCCCCGGCCCCCACGTGCGTCCAGAGGGCGCTGTCCTCCCTGCGGGCTCGCCGTGGTGCCCTCAGCCCCGCGGCTCCGTCAGCGTCTTCTCCGGGGCCGCGCCCGCTCCCGCCCTCACCCGTCCCTGCACCCCTCATCCCGATCGCACGTTGGGGAGCCCCCGTCCGCTGCGGGGCAGCCTCTGCTGACCCGCTGGCCCCGTGAGCTTGGCTCCCTGCGGTGCTCCCCGGACACGGCGCTGAGTTGGTCCCGCTGTGTCTGCGTCCTGCGCTCAGCGGAGCCAGTTCCGAGGCTGTCTGTGTTGGGACAGCTGTTTTTAGGATGATGCTATGGTGAACATCTTTAATCCATTTGGAACTTCTTGTGGGCCAAGGTTTGAGGTCGGGACTGGGTGTTCTCTGCGGACCATCTGTCCACGTCTCTTGGCCATTTAGTGAGTAACTTCCTGTCAGGGGCCTCCCTTGTGGCTCAGCTGGTAAAGAATCCGCCTGCAATGCGGGAGACCTGGGTTCGATCCCTGGGTCGGGAAGATCCCGTGGAGAAGGAATAGGCTACCCATGCCAGTATTCTGGCCTGGAGAATCCCATGAACTGTACAGTCACAAAGAGTTGGACACGACGACTCAGTCGTGACTACTTTCCCCTTCACTTTTCCTGCCAGCCCCCGGCTCCTTAGTGGGTTGCGCACCGGGTGTCTTTACTTCTGTCCCCGTGTTCTCCGGGTCTGGTTCGGGGCTGGTGCTGCCCTCCCCGTCCTGCGGCCATGCTGCCGGGCTTCAGTCACTGACCGCCTCACCCATTCTGCTATGGGCGGGGGGCGGAGGGGGCACCTGTCATTGTCCTGCCTTCCCGGGGATACGTGGCCTCTCGTTGTCTGCTCATCCACCTTCATCTTCGTCCCATGAGTGCAGGGAGCTTGGCCGTGACCCATCTGAGTCTCCTTTCTCAGGCGCTGGGACAAACCTCTAGAGGAGGTTGTCCCGTTGCTCAGTCATGTCCATTTCTTTGTGACCTGATGGGCTGCAGCACACCCGGCTTCCCTGTCTCTCACTATCTTCCACAGCTCGCTCAAACTCACATCCATTGAGTTGGTGATGCCATCCAACCATCTCATCCTCTGGCGTCCACTTCTGCCTTCAGCCTTTCCCAGCATCAGGGTCTTTTCTAATGAGTCAGCTCTTCGCATCAGGTGGCCAAAGTATTGGAGCTTCAGCTTCAGCATCAGTCCTTCCAAGGAACGTTTAGGGTTGATTTCCTTCTGGTTTGATCTCCCTGATGTCCAAGGGACTCTCCAGAGTCTTCTCCAGCACCACAGTTGGAAGCGGGTCAAAGGATGCGGGCTGTCTTGAGGCTCCGGATGCCCCCCGTGCCGTGGCGCCTTTGGGAATCACACGCCCAGGCCTGCCGCCGCTCCCCGGCTGCGGCTCTTCAGCTGACAGCCTGAAAGGAACCGCGTGGCTCTCTGCGACCTGCCCTCAGATTGAGTCCCGCTGCTTGTTCTGTGCCAGGGCTCCAAGCGGATCCTGCGCTCCCACGAGATCGTGCTGCCCCCTAGCGGACAAGTGGAGACCGACCTGGCGCTGACCTTCTCCCTGCAGGTGGGCCCCGCCCCGCGCGCGCGCACGGACGGCCCCTCTCCCACGGGGCGGGCTCTCCAGGGTTAGAAACGTGCCTGGGGTGTTAGGTCGAGTCTTTCCTCACCTTCCCACGATGAAGAGAGGGTGGTGAGGCCAAAACTCAGGTGCTCGGGTTCGGTCATCTCATCGGTGTTTAGAAGAGACGCGGGTTGGGGAGGGGCAGAAAGCAACTCGACATTTCAGACAAAAGGAGACGAAGCGGGGAGGGGCCGCGGAAAGCCAGTGCTGTAAGTTCGAAGCCCTCCGTGTTCTGGGCTGCACTGCTGGTGGGCCTTAGACCCGGACCCACCCCCCCCATGTGTGAAACTGGGGGCTCCTGGGGGAGTGGGCAGACCAGCACCCCCCCAGGCTCCTCCTCCCCCCACTTCTCTTTGCATAATTAAGACCCAAGTTGTTTCATTCAGCCCATGCAGTTCTGGCTGAGCACACCTGCTGTATTAGCGTCAGTGCCTCCAAACCCCAGAACCCCCTGCTGCTGTGAGCGCATAAGATGGGCTGTGCTGCAGCCAGTCTGCAAGACCCCTGCCGGTTTCCCCCCCGACCGCCTGTGAGACCCCTGCCAGCGTCCCCTCCCGCCCCGCCCGCCAGACTGTCGGCAAGAGCCCTGCTAGCCTCCCCCACCCCCACCCCCTGCCCCCGAGGCTGCCTCACTGCCCGAGCCCCACAGCGGCTTCTGGGTTTTGTGTTGACTTTTCTTTTGGAGGGGGGTAGTGAGGAGACTCAAGTTCTATTGTTTTATTTATTTATTTGGCCATGCTGAGTGGCTTCTGGGACCTCACCTCCCCAACAAGGGACTGAACACAGGCCCCTGGCAGTGAGAGCCAGAGTCCCAGCTGCCGGACCACCGGGGAATGCCCCAGGAATCGGGTCTGCTGAGTGTAATTTCCAAAGCGTGCAGTTCAGTGTCAAGTCTGTGGCTCCTTGGGCGTGGACACAGGTGCACAGGTGTGTCGCCCCCACCGCAGCCCGCTTTTAAAGTAGGTTGTTAGTCGTGACCCTCAAGGGAATGTGCACGTTTGCTCTGAGTGCGCCAGCGTGGACAGCCACCACGGGCCCGGGAGCGGGCGTGGCTGCCTGGACCCAGGGTGCTGAGTGGACACGGCGCCCTGGACCGCCAGGCAGGTGCCCCGCTGAGCAGGAGCCCCACCAGGCACGGCCCCTCCCGTCCCTCCCAACGGCCTGACCGCACGGCACACGTCTGCCACCAGTGGCCGTTCCTGGTGACCGAGGCCCGCGGTGACCAGCGGGCAGGGAGCCCCCAGGCTCAGGCGTGTGATCCATGGGTGTCGAGGGGCGTGGCCATCTGTGTCACTGTAGCCCCCCTCCTCCGCAGTACCCCCACTTCCTGAAAAGAGAAGGCAACAAGCTTCAGATCATGCTGCAGCGAAGAAAGAGGTACAAGAACCGAACCATCCTGGGCTATAAGACGCTGGCCGCTGGCTCCATCAACATGGCTGAGGTGAGGGCGGCAGCCAGACGGTCTCCTGTGCCTCCTGGTGGGCGGGGTGGGGGTGGGGCTTCCCTGCAGGCACCCAGCCCTCACTGCCCCCCTGAACCTCCTGCCCAGCGGGAAGCAGGCTGCCCGGGTGGGTGGTGGGCCAGGGTGCTGCCAGCCCCCTTTGTTAACACAGCTTTTTTAGTGATGGTGATAGGAGGAGGTACTGCTTTTCTCAAAAGCCTCATTTTCTTACTTGACTAAAGAGTTGGCCGCTCCAGCTGAGTCCCCCAAATTAGAAAAGAATCTGGTCCCTAAAACTCCAGCATCTAGCTGTATTTGATCAGATGACCCCAAACACAGCTTCTGAAACGTGGAAGCATTTGTTCGCTGGCTTGTCCTGACAAGGCCCATCCAGGCGAATTGCTTGGGCACCTGGGATCCTAGTGGGGCACAGGTGGAGTTGGGGGGCTCTGCTGCTCAGAGAGAGGTCTGCTTGACTCTCTCGTGATCAGAGCAGCCCCAGGGCTTCCCCGTCCTGTTGGGCGATACCCAGGGGGTGTCCGCTCTGTGGCACCAGGGCCCCGGGCCCGCTCGGAGGGCCCGTCCTCCTTGGCCCGCCAGGGTCTGGTCCCTGGCGTTGCATCCTGAGGCTCAGGCCCTGTCTGGGCTGGCCCCTGGGGCTTCACACACTGCCCACTGCCACGGCGCTCCTCCTCGACGGCCTGCAATGCTCGGGGCTGGGCCTGGCGCTGACCTCCCCGCTTGAGGTAGCAGGCCCCCTCGTGGCCCAGCCACTGGCTCCGGGTCCTCTTGTCCTCCTGCCCCTGCTTGCCCGGCTGACCGTGGCCCCTGTGGTCACTGCCGAGAGGAAGGCCGAGCGGACCCCCGCGTGTACCCCCAGTGTGGGCCGGCAGGGTCTCCAGAGCTGCGCCCCCACAGGTGTTGCAGCAGCCGGCGGAGGGCGGGCAGGTGCTGAGCCTCTGCAGCGACATCAAGGAGGCCACGGTCAAGGTGGCCGAGATCTGGATCTTCTCGCTGTCCAGCCAGCCCATTGACCACGAGGACAGTGCCATGCAGGCCGGCCCCAAGGCCAAGTCCACCGGTGAGCGCCGCCTCGGGCCGCTCCTCTGCTGCGGACGCCGCCTCCCGGCTATGCGCCTGTGGGCGTGAGGAGCTGGGGAGGGGACACAAGGGTCTGCAGGTGGCCCTCTGGGTGGTGGGCGTCCCAGCCCCTCCTGCACACAGGGACCCAGCCACTGAGCGAGTCGCGGGAAGCCATGGCGCCTTCTCAGGTCTGGCACCGTCCTGGGCTGTCTCTTCCAGCACAGCTGGGGTCACTGTCTCCCCTGAGGTGGGGGTGGGCAGACAGGGACCAGTCCAGCTAAAGATCCAGGACCCTGTGGTGGGCAGGAAGGGCCAGACCACGGTGGGGGGGCACGTGGGGGTGAGCCCTGTGAGGGGCAGGAAGACCACCGGGGGGCACGTGGGGGCCGTGTCCGCGCCGCCCCTGCACAGAGGGGCTGGACACCAGGGGTGGGAGCCTCAGGGTGCCCCCCCTCTGTGTGCCCACCCTGCAGAGAACTACTCGGAGGAGGAGTACGAGAGCTTCTCCTCTGAGCAGGAGGCCAGTGACGATGCCGTGCAGGGGCAGGTAGGGCAGAGGGGTGGGGGGGGAGCGGGGGGTCGGGGAGAGTAACCAGTGGGTGCCCCCGGCAGTAGGGGGTCGGGGCTGGGTAAATGGGGCCACTGGAGCCACGTGGGGCCCCTGAAGGGACATGAGGACCCCCCAAAGCCACCAGGACAGGGTATCCTGGGGCCTGGGCGCCACGAGCATGCGCTCTAATGCCCAGAGTCCGCGTGGGGAGGGTCCCTGGGCCCCGCGTGGGGCTTAGGCGCGGCATGTCTCTGCAGGATTTGGACGAGGATGACTTTGATGTGGGGAAGCCCAAGAAGCAGCGGCGATCGATAGTAAGAACGCCGTCCATGACCAGGGTCGGTGGAGACTGGTTTTACTAACCTGGGGAAGCGGGGGGCGGGGGTCTGGGGCGGGCAGGGTGTGGGGCGGCCCGTCCAATCGCATGCTGCCCCGGAAGCCCGGCTCTGTGGCTTCTCCTGAGGTCTAGCCTCTTCCCTGCAAATGGCGTGAAGGTGAGTGGCCCTATGCCACGGTCTCGCCTTGGGAGGAGGACCCCCATGGTATCAGCAGGCCAACCCCAGGCTGCGGGCCACAGGCCCGGAGGCAGCGGGCAAGGCCAGTCCCTGAGCAGAGCCCAGCCGGCTGCCTCACAGCCCAGACATGCCCAGTGTGAGGCCGGCTCTTGTCTGCTCTGGGCAGGCGGGCCCAGGGCTCGGAAGGGCTGCCGGCCCCTCCTCGGAGGGAGATCCAGGCGGAGCGTCCACCCCAGTGCCCAGCTGCCCTGTGTGCCGGGCCGCAGCCCCAGGCCAGGCCAGCGTAGAGGGCGGCCCGGGAAGCCTCAGAGCCGACCCCTTGCCCCAGAGCCCACCACCCCCAGCCAGGCCCGGAGGCCACGGGCTGGTTCCTGAACACTGAGTGAGCCAGCTGTCTGGACCACAGTGCGTCCAGAAGTGCCGGGACAGCATCCGTGTGAGCCTCGGGCCCAGGGCCCGACGCCCAGCTTCTGTGCAGAGAGCCGGGGCTGAGCCCTGTGGTCACGGCTGCGCTGGGAGCAGACGGGCCCCCCCACCCTGGCTGCCACTGCGGTCCACGGAGGCAGGGCGGGGCCTCACGCATGGAGGCTTCTGGAAGAGCCGTCGACTCCCCTCTGTCCCCGCGTTTGGCCCCCGACCACCAGCCCGTGTGTGGGCCGTTTCCAAGTCTGAGCACTAGTGTGGGCGGCTGGCGGTCATGGGTCTCGGCTGTCTGAGCTGCCCCGCCGCTGCCGTGCCGCCGTTGCCGAGGAGCAGCCCCGTGCACTCTGACCGCGCCCCGCTTGTCTTGCAGCAGCAAAACTTCAAGCAGAAAGTGGTGGCCCTGCTGCGGAGGTTTAAAGTCTCCGACGAGGTGAGGGGGCGGCCCCCGGCAGCGGGGGCCCTGGTGGGAGGAGGGCCTGGAGCCCAGCTCCGGGCGGGTCTCCGGCGGCGCTGTCTTCGTCCAGGAGCATGGACGGTGGGGCCCACCCCCAGGGCCGCTCAGGGGGCGGCAGAGGCTCAGGCAGTGCCCACCGAGCTTCCTGAGCGACAGATCGCTGGACAGACCTGGAGGAAAGCGGGATGTCGTCTTTCAGGGGGTGTGACCACGGGCTTTTGTGTTTTTTTTTTTAATTTGGCTTTATCTTTTAGGGCAGTTTTAGGTTCACAGCAAAACCGAGCAGAGTTTCCATGTACCCTGTCACCACACACATGGCCTCCCCGACTATCAAACCGTGTGCTGTAAAATTTCTTCTTTTTGCTTTCTTTTAATCTCCAAATGATGAGTTTGTAGAACTTTGATAACCAGAAGAAAAATGCCTGGTTTTTCTTAAATGTGATCAGAGGACAGTTTGTCCCCTGGCTCTGAACCCACCCAGGGCGTGTGGCATGGAAGTGTCTGAGTCCCAAGGCCTTGTCACCACGTGGGTCCCAGCAGTGAGCGGTTGCTGCTGAGCTGTGAATGATGCCGGGGTTCTTGGCCTCTGGAGGACAGGAATTCAATGCAGGGCCAGTGTCGAGGCTTGATCGCTCAGAGCTTTTGTGTGATAAAGATTTATTAAAGTATGAAAGAGAGAGAGACAGCTTCTGACACAGACGTCAGAAGGGGGCGGAAGGAGGGCCCCCTGCTGCCGCCGCCGCTGCTGCTGAGTCTCGTCAGTCGTGTCCGACTCTGTGCAACCTCATAGACGGCAGCCCACCAGGCTCCCCGTCTCTGGGAGTTTCCAGGCAAGAACACTGGAGTGGGTTGCCATTTCCTTCTCCAATGCATGAAAGTGAAAAGTGAAAGTGAAGCCGCTCAGTCGTGTCCGACTCTTAGCGACCCCATGGACTGCAGCCCAGCAGGCTCCTCCATCCATGGGATTTTCCAGGCAAGAGTACTGGAGTGGGCTGCTATTGCCTTCTCCGACCCCCCTGGTAGTCTTTAGGAATAAGTTACATGCCTATCAGGAGGCTGTTAATTAGAGAAATAAAATCTCTCAAAACTCAGAGACTGTCACCAGGCCCCTCACCCACAACATGCATTCTGAGATAACATTGGCACAAGGTGAGTCATCCCAGGCTGTGAAATGATTGATGTGAATCTTGAAGAAAAGCAGGTTTCCAAGCAAATACATGGTCTGGTTAACAGCTTAAGAGAACATTTTCGTGGGTAAAACATGCTGGTTTGTCAAGACTGTTCTGAGTCTTAGGTGGAACTGACTTGAAGAAAGACAGAACCTAGAGTAAATACATAGTTCGTTAACACAGCTTAAGAAAAACGTTTCCATAAGAAAAACGCATTAGTTCGCTCAAGGTTTGAGAAAAGTTCAGGTGGAACCAGGTGTCGTCATGGCAACACAGAATTTTAAAAGAAACCTTTAAAATTTGTATAGAGGAGGGGAAAAAAGCCTGACGCTGTAGTTTGTTTCCTCTCGCCGCTTAAGAGAGAGATAAAAAATGTCCGACACTCGCAGCCTGTTTCCCGTGTGGAGACCCCCGCCTTCCTGCCTGCCACTCCAGTGGCGCGTGTGAGCACGCGCGTGATTGAGGGTGCCGCGCGTGCGGCGGGCGCCGCCCCCTTGTGGCGGCTCCTCAGTGAGCCGCTCGGAGCCAGGCCACTCGGCCGCGGTCCTCCCCACACTGGCCTCCAGGCTCAGACGGCTCCTTCGCAGACCTCCAGCTGCCCTTCTGCAGAAACTAACCACCTAGTGCTGAAACTTACACATGAATGCGAGGGACCCAGAATCAACAAGGCAGTCACTGAGGAAGAACAGACTTGGAGGACCCGCACTGTCTTCAGAACTTAGCAAAAACCGCTGTCCTCAGCAGATCGAAGAAGTGAGGTTAAGTCGTTTTGTTAACGGTCAGCGGATTTCCAAGCAGACCGTTCAATGGGGGGGAAAGAGCCTTCTCAGCACCTAGTGCTGGAACAGTGGGTTGTCTGGGCACAGAGTCCGCTCCTCACAGTGCACACAAAAATTAACTCCAGGTGAGTCAAAGACCTAGCTATGTGGGCTAAAACTTATAGAGCTCTTAGAAGAAAACAGGAGTGCTTGTGAGCTTGGATCAGGCAGTGGTTTTTCAGATATGACACCAAAAGCATGAGCAAACAAAGATGAAACAGGTAAGCTGGACTCCATTAAAATTTAAAGCACTGTGCTCCAAACAGTACCATCAAGAAGGTGAAACAACAGCTCACAGGATAAAATATTTTGCAAATAATATATCTGGTAAGAGACTTGTAATCCAGAGCATATAAAGAACACTTAAAACTCAGAACAACACAATGAAAAAACTGTCCACTTTAAAAAGTGGGCAAAGGATCTGACGAGATACTCCTCCAAAGAAGAAATACAAACAAGTCAGTAAACATATGAAGAGATGCTTGGCATCGCTAGTTATCGGGGAGTGCAGATCAGTGGACGCCTCTTGGTAGCCGCTGGGCTGGCCATCCCCAGGAACACGGAAGATACGTGTTGATGGGGATGTGTGACCATCGGAGCCCTCACGTGCTGGACGGGACACCCGTAGTGGCACCACCTTGGAAAAGAGGCTAAACAGGTTAGACACCCTTGCCAGGCACGCGGCACTGCCCCGTGTTTCCCCATGAGGAGGAGGCAGGTCCACACAGGCCGATGGCATTATGGGAGCTTCCCTGTAGCCACAGTTCCTGGGAGCACGCTGTGACCCATCGTGGAGACCCACTAGCAAGGAGGAGCCAGCTGTGGGCACGCCTGCGTGGGCGTGCGTGCGTGGGCACGCTCACACACACACACACTGACATGCTGTTGTGCTGAGGGGAGACTGCATGCCAAGTGACTGCAGGGCGTGCGCCCTCCTGGGAAGGCCCAGTGCGTGGGCCTGGGGGACTGTCGGGGCAGGGGCGCCCGGGGAGGGCAGCCTCTTGCGTCCAGATCCTGGTGGTGCCGCAGCACAGCTTCTGTTGTCGGAGCGCTGCCGGATGCTCTAAAGGCTGTGCTGGCAGGGCAGGCTTCCCAGGCTGGGGAGGAGAGCTGAGCCAAGTGCCCGCGTGACCGGAGGCCTCGGCGGGACGCCCAGGGCCTGCAGGGACCAGCTGGAGGAAGGGCGCCGGGTGGCCGAGCAGTCTCCTCCCGTCTGTCCCGCAGCCTCACACCTCTGGCCTCACGTAGGTCCTGGGCTCGGAGCAGGACCCCGCAGAGCATGTCCCCGAGGTCGAGGAAGACCTGGACCTCCTGTACGACACGCTGGACGTGGAGAACCCCAGCGACAGCGGCCCTGATATGGAGGACGACGACAGCGTCCTCAGCACCCCCAAACCGAAGCTCAGGTGGGTGCAGCCAGCATCCCGGACGCGGGCACGGCCGCCTGCCTTCAGAGCCGGCAGTCGGCAGGGGCGAGCCGCGAGGAGGCCCATTGGGTGGTTGTCGGGGCCGGAAGGCAAGGCAGTGTGCGGGGCAGCGGGCCGTCTGGGGTGTGGGCTCTGGGGAGGGGGTGGACAGGAGGCACAGACCCCGAGGGGGCCCTGGGTCTGTGGGCCTTCAGGGGTGGGGCGTGGTGAAGGGAGAGTCCAGTCTGGAGTCAGCTGGGGTCAGCCCCGCAGGAGGCCGTGTCCGGGAAGGAGGGGCAAGTGGGCTGTGGACCCGGGAGGGACCAGTGGGTGCCCCGGGGCTGTCCATCCCGCGGGGAGCCAGGGGACACTGGGGGAGGTGGGGGGCTGCGGCCTGGCCTGGGGCTGGGGGAGCGTGCAGGTCGGAGTCCCGGAGCCCAAGTCAGAGGCAGGAAGGTGTGTGACCTGGCTGATCTTTAGACGTTCGACAAGCAGGAATCAGAGCCCGGGGAGCACCCAGGAGGGGGCGTGTTGTCACCTGCCCCCTGCAGCCTCACAGACCTCTCACGGCAGGACCCCCCACGGCAGACCCCCCCCATGGCGGGACCCCCTCTCACGGCAGATCCCCCCATGGCGGGACCCCCTCTCAGGGCGGGACCGCCCCCTCAGAGTGGGACCCCCCCATGGTGAGACCCCCTCTCAGGGCGGGACCCCCCCATGGCGGGACCCCCCCATGGCGGGACCCCCTCTCAGGGTGGGACTGCCCCCTCAGAGTGGGACCCCCCATGGCGGGACCCCCCTCAGGGTGGGACCCCCCACGGCAGACCCCCCCCATGGCGGGACCCCCTCTCAGGGTGGGACCGCCGCTCTCAGGGTGGGACCGCCGCCCTCAGAGTGGGACCCCCCCATGGCGAGACCCCCTCTCAGGGCGGGACCCCCCCATGGCAGACCCCCCCATGGCGGGACCCCCTCTCAGGGTGGGACCGCCCCCCTCAGAGTGGGACCCCCCCTCAGGGCAGGACCGCCCCCCTCAGAGTGGGACCCCCCATGGCAGATCCCCCCATGGCGGGACCCCCTCTCAGGGCGGGACCCCCCACGGCAGACCCCCCCATGGCGGGACCCCCTCTCAGGGTGGGACCGCCCCCCTCAGAGTGGGACGCCCCCTCAGGGCAGGACCGCCCCCCTCAGAGTGGGACCCCCCATGGCAGGACCCCCCACGGCAGACCCCCCCATCGCGGGACCCCCTCTCAGGGCGGGACCCCCCATGGCGGGACCCCCCTCTCAGGGTGGGACCGCCCCCTCAGAGTGGGACCCCCCATGGCGGGACCCCCCCCTTCAGGGCGGACCCCCCTCAGGGTGGGACCCCCCATGGCAGACCTCCCGCATGGCAGGACCCCCCATTGTGGGGACCCCCCCCTCAGGGCAGACTGCCCGCACGGCAGGACCCCCGCCCCGGGCAGATACCTCCCACAGCAGATTCCCCCCCCATGGTGGGGACCCCCTCTGGGGCAGACACCCACACACACAGCAGATTGCCCCCCCACGGTGTGTGACCACCCCCAGAGCAGATGCCCCTCACAGCAGATTGGCCCCCCATGGCAGCGCCGCCCCTGCCCATGGCGGGCCGAGTCCTGACCAGCGAGTGACTGCTGACTCGGCCCCCAGTCTCCTCTCCCTGGAGGGGCGGCTGCAGGCTCAGGTCAGAGGTCCTGCTTCCCTTTTGCCTGCGACCCCTCCACTTTCAAGGCCAGCACGGTGGGCCCCCGACCCCTCTCTGCCTTCAGAGGGGGCAGGTCTCTGCTTCTGTCAGCCGATGCCTGTCTGACCCATGCTGTCCCCACTGGAAGCCGTGCCGCAGGGCGAGCCCCCGGCCCCCCGGCCCAGTCCTGGGTGGAGGTATGGCATCTCTCGGGCCTCATCCCGCCACCACGCACTGCGGTCTGGCCTCACGGTTCCACACCTGTGTGGCTTCATCACCAGGCGCTGCAGGGATCCTGCCCCTCGTTAACTTGACCTTCAGTTCCTGCAGTCTGGCCCAGGGGGCCCAGGTCCCGCACCCATCAGGCCTCCAGGTGTCGGGTGCCCTGGGCCAGCCCCCAGGGGTGGGGGCTTCGGGGCGCAGGTCTGCTGGGCGGCTCTCAGGCCCGCGGTGTCCTTGCCTGTGCTGTGGCCCTCGAGGGTGGGGCCTGCTCTGCGCTCGACCCTGCCGGGCCCCGTGGAGGTGCCAGAGGACAACGCGCACTCTGTCTCCACCTCCCAGGCCGTACTTCGAAGGCCTGTCCCACTCCAGCTCGCAGACAGAGATCGGGAGCATCCACAGCGCCCGCAGCCAGAGGGAGCCTCCCAGCCCGGTGAGCACCCCCGCTGGGGTCCTCAGGCGGGTGGTGGGCACCCTGATCCTCCCGTCTGAGTCACTGGAGGCTCTGACAGGCCCAGGGCTCAGTGCCTCCTGGTTTCCGGTGTGGTCTGAGTACGCTGCCCAGTGACTGTCGTGGGGCGGCCCTGAGCCCACGGTCCAGGAAACACTCGCTGGCCCGTCTCCCCAGGCTGCCTCCCAGCCCAGAAGCCCGTGCCCAGAGGTGAGCCAGCCTGGGCACCATTGCCGGACACCTCCTGATTCCGTCCCGTTTCATCCACACAGGCTGACGTGCCCGAGAAGACACGGGTCCTCGGAGGCAAGCAGCCCAGTGACAGTGTGTCCGATTCGGTGGCCCATGTAAGGAGGTGTGGGGCCACCTTCACAGAGCCCTTCATGTGTTGCCTTTCGGGGTCAGACCCGTGACCAGGAGGTCCTCTTGTTCCCACCATCCAGAACCTGTGCACAGAAACACAATGAGGATCCCCTGGACTCTCCCCACCCCAGGGGGCAGTCAGGGTTCCCCTGGACTCACTGCACCCCAAGGGGGCAGCTGGGGCCCTTAGATTCTCCCCACCCCAGGGGGGGCAGTCAGGGCCTCTGGATTCACCCCACCCCAGGGGGACAGTCAGGGTCCCCCTGGACTCACCCCACCCCCAGGGGATGGTCAGGGCCCCCTGGACTCTCCCCACCCCAGGTTGGGCAGCTAGGGCCCCTGGATTCACCCCACCCCAGGGGGACAGTCAGGGTCCACCTGGACTCACCCCACTCACCCCACCCCAGGCGGGGCAGTCAGGGTCCCCCTGGATTCACCCTGCCCCAGGGGATGGTCAGGGCCCCTGGATTCACCCTAACCCCACAGGGCAGTCAGGGCCCCCCTGGATTCACCCTGCCCCAGGAGATGGTCAGGATCCCCCTGCTTCCTTGTCAGGCACAGACCATCACGGCTGCTTCCTGCTGCTCTCGTGTGGGTTCTCACGGAATGGCGGGGCAGGGCGGGGGTGGTGCGGGTCTCCCCACAGACTGGGAGCCCTGTGGTTGGAGGTGGAGGTCAGCTGGCTTCCCAGGCAGCATGTGGCCACGTCCACATGCAGGGAGTCACCAGCCCAGGAGAGGCCTGAGCGCCCTCACCCAAACCAAGGCTCCTCGGGCACGGGAGCACAGCACTGGGAGGAGACCCCGCGGGCGCGTGTTCCCCACGGCTCCATCCTTTGCCCGCAGAGCACGCCTGCCCCCGGGGAGCAGCCAGCACCGCCTGAAGAAAGCCCTGAGGTGGAGACCTCTGCCCTGGACCTGTTTACCGAGAAGCTACCACCTAGCGGGCGGATCACCAAGACTGAGTCCCTGGTCATCCCCTCTACCAGGTGACTGGCCGCCCCAGGGAGGCTGTGGCCCAAGCAGTGCCCCTGTGGGCCGGTGTGGAGCACATGTGGGTGCCCCGTGGGGGAAGGGTTTGTCTGGCTGGATGAGCATCACTCGGGGGGCCCACCTGGGACCCTCACCCCCATCTGCAGCTGGCCCCCTGCTGCAAGGGCAGGGAAGGCTCGCCATCCCCATCTCCCCTTTCCTGGACCCGGGGATGCTGTCCGGGCTGGGGCAGGCTTGTGATCGGTGCCCGTGATCCCGTGGCGCCCAGTGCCAGAGTGGGCGGGGCATGCCGCTGAGCAGAGTGGCCCTCACGCAGCGCGCGGCCCAGCGGCGGGCCTCTGCGGGGCGGGGGGCAGCCGGCTGGGGCCCCGTGAACGCGGGAGCAGCCTCGAACAGCAGGGCCGGGCGCCCTCCTGGCAGGGGAGGGCCTCTGCGGGGCGGGGGGCAGCCGGCCGGGGCCCCGTGAACGCGGGAGCAGCCTCGAACGGCGGGGCCGGGCGCCTTCCTGGCAGGGGATGAGCTCTCTGGGTCCCCCACCCACCCTCTCGCCGCCCCCCATGGTCAGACCCTGGCTGCGCCTCACCTTGCCAAGCACCAGCCCCAGCGCTCTGAGCCGTCTGCGTGGTCCGCCCGCCAAGGTCAGCCCTGGGCCCACCACTGCCACAGGGCCTCAACCCCACCCCGCGGCTCACTGTACCCCCGGAGGGCCCCCTCTGCCCTCTCCCAGCGTCCGGGTCCCGTGTGGCGGACACTCAATGTGTTGCTCCCCGATTTTCATCCTCGGTCAGCCCTCACTGCATCCCTGTGCACGTCTCCTCCCAGAAACGAGACAGGAGGCCACGTGCACATGGCCTCTGGGACCGGACCTCCCGACCCAGGCCGCACACGATGGGAGCCAGCAGACAGGCGTGTCAGCCGCTGGCCTCCATGAGGCCTTCGCTTTGTGTTTCTCGGACAGGAGTTTTCCAGGAGCAGGGCTCTGGTGCTGGCACTACCTGGCGGGGGGAACAGGGGCCTGTGTCAGGCGTGGAAGGGGCACCCTGAGCTCCAGGACACGGGCACGGCCTGCGCCAGGCTCACCGGGGGAGGGGCTGGGGTCTCCGTCCTCATGGCCTGTGGCCCAGCTGCACGACCGCCCCCACCGCAGCCGCCTCACCGCAGAGTGGCCAGGCCCCCAAGGCAGTGAGTGCCCATGGCTGCCCCATAGGTCTGAGGGGAAGCAGGCAGGCCGCCGGGGCCGGAGCACGTCCCTGAAGGAGCGGCAGCCGGCGCGCCCGCAGAACGAGAGGGCCAACAGCTTGGACAACGAGCGCTGCCCCGACACGCGGAGCCAGCTGCAGGTGCCTGTGGGCAGGCGGGCGTGGGGGCTCCCAGACCCCAGGGCCTCTGTCCATGCGGAGGATGCGTGTCCGTGTGCACCAGGGGTTGGGCTTTCCCGCCTGCTTCCGGGGGCTGCTGGGGGTCAGCTGGGCCGGTGAGTGACTGGGGACAGCTCGCCATCAGGGCAGCTGCAAACAAGCTGGTCTCTCCAGATCCCCAGGAAGACTGTGTACGACCAGTTAAACCACATCCTCATCTCCGACGACCAGCTCCCGGAAAACATCATTCTCGTGAACACCTCGGACTGGCAGGGACAGGTGGGGAGGGGCCGGGCTGCCCGGGCAGGGTGGGGTGGGGAGGGGGCGATGTGTCCTCTCTGGGGCCCTGGCCAGCCCTGCCCGCTGTGGACGCGAGCGGGGCACATGGATGAGGTTCACCCCGCCCCCCCAGTTCCTCTCAGACGTGCTGCAGCGGCACACGCTCCCCGTGGTCTGCACCTGCTCCGCGGCCGACGTCCAGGCGGCCTTCAGCACCATCGTGTCTAGGATTCAGAGATAGTGAGTCCCAGGCGTGGGGGCCTCTGCTCCGCAGCGACTCGGGAGGGGGTGGGGGCCGCTGCTGGGGCGGCCGGGCGCGAGGACTGTCGTCCTGAGGCTCCGCCCCTCTGCCGCCCGAAGCTGCAACTGTAACTCGCAGCCGCCGACGCCCGTGAAGATCGCGGTGGCGGGCGCGCAGCACTACCTCAGCGCCGTGCTGAGGCTCTTCGTGGAGCAGCTGTCGCACAAGACCCCCGACTGGCTGGGCTACATGCGCTTCCTCGTGATCCCGCTGGGTGAGGGCGCCCCCCGCCCTGGGGCCGACCCCGAGGGCGCCGGGCCAACTGGGGTCTCCTGTCAATAGGGCCAGGCGGGGGCTTGCTTCCTTATTAACCTTTAAAGATTCTCAAAACCAAACCCCCGGTTTTTGGCTTTCCTGAATTGGCGCACACACGTCTGTCTGCGCTGGGAGGGGTGCAGTCCTCAGGGAGACCCCCACCCCAGGGCGAGGTGAGGTGGGGGGGCGGAGAAGCGGGGCTGCGGCGGCGCCGCGCCTGACGCCTCCCCTCGGCCCACAGGCTCCCACCCCGTGGCCCGGTACCTGGGCTCCGTGGACTACAGGTACAACAACTTCTTCCAGGACCTGGCTTGGAGGGACCTGTTCAACAAGCTGGAGGCGCAGAGCGCTGGTGAGGCCCGGGCGTGTCCCGCGACGCGCCCCCGCCCTGCCGCGCCCCTCCCCTTCCCTCCTGTCCCCTGCCCCTCGCGCCCCCGCCCTGCCGCCCACGCCCGCCTTGCGCCCCTGCCCCTCGCGCCCCAGCCCGGCGCCCAGCCCATCACATCTCCTTTTGAAAGTCAGTGGTTTGCTGTGCTCTGAGACACACTTGTTTGTATTGGGCCTGAGCGCGCAGGTAGCTGAGGTCAGGGGGCGTGGCCAGTGGGGTCTGGGCCAGGATGTTTCTCTGCTATTGAGCCTCAAAGCTCTTTGGTGACTGGCCCCGGGGAGGGGTTTTCAGGATTTGGCGAGGCCTCACTGCTCTCCCCAGGACCCCGTGAGGGCGGCGGCCAGAGGAGCCCCTCAGCTGTGCCCAGCCTGGCTGCCCAGCCCCTGGGTGCTGGGGTATGCCGTGCCCACGGACCCCTCCTGGTCTTCTCCTGTAGTGCAGGACACGCCGGACATCGTGTCGAGAATCACCCAGTACATTTCGGGGGCCAACTGCGCCCACCAGCTGCCCATTGCAGAGGCCATGCTGACCTACAAGCAGAAGAGGTACCTCCGCGGGCCCAGGCAGGCGTGGGGTGGAGACCGCCGTACCTCTGCGGTCTTGGCCAGGCGGCCTGCATCCTCACTGTCCCAGCTCCTTGGGTCACTGATGGGCCCACGGGATGGAAAGAGACTTGGGATGAGGGAAGCCCCTAGTTGTCCTGAACACTGCACCCTTTTTTGACACAAATCGCAGTTAGGATTAGCTGGTCGATTTTTCTTTCTCTTTGAATGCGCTGGGATTTCCTGTAATTGGAGTCACAAGAGCAGTAGTCCCGATGCTGGCCCAGCAGCATCCTGGAATGCCTCCTCCAACAGCCAGTCTCCAGCAGGAGACCCGGTCCTCACCCTGCCCAATGCAGGATGGTGGTTAGGGACTGGGCTGATGCCCGCTTGCATGGGGTGGGGCCTTGTGTGATCCGAGGGGGTCTAGCAGTCTCCTCGACCGGCCATGAACAGAGGCACAGTCGGGGGTTGCAGGAGGAGGCAGGCCGCGGCAGGTCCGAGGAGCCCAGCTGCCTGCCCTGGGCTCCAGCCCCTGCTCTGCGAGGGGCCCCTGGCAGGTGCCTCACTGCCTCTGAGCGGCTAACAGCGTCCTGTCTCTCTTTCTGGCGGCTCTCTGCAAAGGAGAAAGAACTTTCACTTTGACTTTACCCTCAGGTACCGCTGTCCGTGGGTCTGGCCCCCGTCTGCCCACTGGCTGGTCTTTAGGGCTGTTTGGCGGTGTCAGCAGGTGGGGTGGTCTTCAGCTCTCCGTACAGGGGTCAGGGGGCGCGGCCTCCACCAGGCAGGCTCCTGGCACTGCACGCTGCCTGAGCCAGCTGCCCGGTCCCTCTCAGGTGCCCACCCAGCCTCAGGGACAAAGTCTGCTGCCTGGCAGCATTTCAGTCCCGAGTGCGGGTTGGGAAGTGGCCGGCGGAACTCGTCTCTGAAGCCTGGCAGTTCCACCCCCAAGGTAGCCGCAGGGACTGGTTCCACCCCGTGAGCCAGCAAGCACTGGCACCACTTGGGGCGGGCTGTGCGCCCCGTACCCGCTGCCAGCAGCCAGGGAGAGCAGCTCGGGGCAGTTTCCCAGCTCAGTTTTGGGGTTTCCCTGGATGGTGGCCAGGCCACTGGGACCCCTGCACACAGCGAGACTCTATTTTTGCCCCCAAGGTGGCGGCTCCTCTGTTTGACTGTGTGTCGGAGCTGAGCCCCAGACGGCCCTGCCTGCCAGGCAGCCCCAGCCTCGGGGCACTGCTTTGCCAGAGTCTCAGGGCATTTGCTCTGGGAAAGCCCCAGGGCGAGTCCTTGGGTCCCAGGCCGCCTCTGTGCTGGGCCCTGGGATGGATCAGGAGGAGGGGTGTGAGCCCGTTCAGACATCCTGCTAAACAAGCCTCAGGGTCTCGAGAAAGACCAGCCGTGGTGTGCCCTGCTGACCCCGGGCTTCCTGTGGGCCTGTGCCCGCGCCCCTCCCCGCCCACCCCCGATAGCTGTGCCAGGAGCGCGGCCTGCTTTGCTGCCTGGGCCGCAGCGTCTGTCTGTGCCAGGGCGGGCTCCTCTGAGCCGCGCCTGGGCCCGGGACCTGGGCCGCCCCGAGCCGCCTCCGTGCTCAGCCCCCACCTCCGCGTTACAGTGGTGACACCGGCCCGGCCCTGGGGGCAGGGGGGACCCGCTGTCCCGGCTGGAGCCCTGTGATGGCCAGTGCGCCATCCAGGCTCAGAGCCCAGGCCGGAAGGGCAGCGGGCCAGCCTTTGTCTGCAGTGACACAGAACAGGCTGCTGTCCACCCCGAGGGGTCAGGAGACCCGGGAGACGGTGGGCAGTGGGCACGGCCATCCCAGGCCTCCTCCAGCCCTGCCCTCTGAGGGTGTCTGCAGGGAGGCTCCCATCTGCTCAGCACCAGCTCCCAGCCTGAGGTCAGACCCATCGGTGGTCCTCCCAGGCAACTGTGCGGGCTGCCCAGCACCCCTACCCTGGCCTCTTGGCCGGCGTGGGCTCCCCTCAGCTTCCGTGCCATTGATGCCACGTGGTGGCACCTCCCCCACACGCAGGTCTCATGAGCCATGCCCAGGGGCCTTGGCACAGAGCTGTGGGCTCAAGCCCTAGGAGTCCTGATCTCTGACCCTGCCAGGAGCACGCATGCCCTCCGCACGCAGGGTCCAGGGTGAGGGGTCTCAATGGAAGCCGGTGTCACCCCCGTCTCGTGGGCACGTGCGTGCTGGATGTCGTCTGCATGGCCCAGGAGCACAGCTTGGCTTTGACGCTTGTGTTGTGGAGTCTCCAAGTCCCCCCCTCTTTGGGGTCCTCGTTTGTCTGCCTCCCCGCGTGCAGATCGTGGAGGGGGTGGGCATGCGTGGTGGGCAGTGGATCACTGAGGTGGGGGCCCTGTGGGTCGAAGGCCCCTGTGCATTGAGTCAGGGACCCCCCCCCAGACGTTCTGCCTCCTCACATGCAGGAGGAGGTCCGGGCACAAGATTTGGGTTGTTTTGTTACATGAACTGGAATGAAGGGAAGTTTTCTTTTTCAACTGTTTTCTTCTTAAAATGGGGAGAAAACCTGGGAATTTGGTAATCTTCAGTTGGAGGGACTGAACCTGTAGGTTCTTTCATCCAAAGTCATTTGCCAGGTCTTTTGCAGAGATGGGGTGGGTGGTGCTGGGTGGTTCACGGATGCCCACGTCCAAGGGTGCCCAGGTGAGGGTGGCTCCTGCCAGCTGCTGTCCCCTCATGTGGGTGGCGTGCTGGGCACGGGGCAGCACCTCCTGCCAGGACCGGGACCTGCATTCTGAACTGGCCCCTGGGCCAGGGGCGCTTGTCCAGCTGGTGACCACACTTCACGGGGGCACCCCCAGCCCCAGGCCTCCATCCGCCACAGGGACAGGGAGGGGAGAGCCTCCTGCCAAGCTCTGGTGCCCTGGGGCTCCTGGTCCCGAGAGCTGGTGCCTGGGGAGCTGGCTGAGCGGGGCCTGGGTCCCCACGGGCAGGCCTGCCTGGTGCAGAGGCTTCTCCCTGGGTGGCACCTCCAGGCCGCTGCCCTACTGGGTGTGCGTGTGTGGACTGCCTTGCAGAAGAGTCGCTCTGTGATTTCAAGCTCAGGTTTGAGAGGATGGCTCGGAGAGGATGCCGGCCCAGGAGGCAGGGGAGGGGACACCTGTCTGTCCTGCGGCTGGGGGAGGGACCGCATAAGGCCCTGGACCAGTCCTGCCCTGGGGACCCAGGCGGAGGCGAGAAGGGGGTGCTCTGCCAGCCGCCAGTGGAGCCCAGGCCAAGGTGGGCACTGGGGGCCGGAGTGGCGCCAGCTGAGCCGCAGGACCAGCCCCGGCCCGGGGGGAGCGGGTAGAAGAGACGCCCCCACCCAGGCCTGGGGACCCTGGGCGCCTTGCCTGCCAGCGGCTGTGACGGGGGGTCCTGGAGAGGCTGGGCTCTGCCAGCAGCTGTGCAGGGCCTGTGGGTGTGTACAGCAGCACGCCCCCAGAGCCTCAGCCTTGCCTTCAGGCTGCTCTTGGGACGAGTTGTGCTGTTAGAACCCACGCCCTCCGGCATGAAGGTCTTAGTCCTAGAAACGCCCCCGCAGTGGGCACCAACTTCATCCAGACTGTCGGGGGGGATGTCTCTGCCTGACGGGACGGCCACCCCCACCCCCTGGAGGTGGCCCTGGCTGCCCCCGGGGTGTCCTGGGGGCACAGGCAGCCCGCCCTCTCCTGGGGCCCCAGGGGGCCAGCAGAGTGGCTCCAGGCTGGGCCAGCTGTCTGCGCACCAGGTGCCCCAGAGGGAGGAGCAGATGGCCTCAGGCCACCCCATAGGGCTCTGGACCTCATGTGGAGCTGCGTTCAGCCTTCCTGCAGGTCGGCGGGCCCTGCGGTCAGAGGTCCAGGCTGGTGTCCGTGGGAGGGCGGGCGCGAGTCCGGGTGGGCCGGGCGCTGCAGAGGGTGGCCTCGCCCCTCAGTGGGGCTGACTATGTGTTTCCCTGTCTCAGCCCCGACGAGGAGTCCTCCCAGAAGTTCATTCCCTTCGTTGGGGTGAGTACCGCCCGGGCAGCTGTCACCTTGCCCGCCGTCCTGCCACCCGGCTGCTCCGCTGTGGGGTGGCTGCAATCCGCCGACGTGATCGGCGTGTCGTGTTTACGCTACATGGTCCAGAACCTTCTTCAGTTGTAGCTGACGACTTGCCTTCGCATCCCTCCTACTCTAAAGTCTCTCTTTCCTGCATCAGGTGGGGAGTGAGCTCAGGTGCTGCTAGGACTGGACTCGTGGAAGCAGGCAGCCTGCCTGAGGGCACGGGGCTGGTTCTTAGCTTTGTCCTGGGCAGTGGGGATCAGCATCAGGCTCGGCTTGTCAGGGGCCACCCAGGGCTGGCCGTCCTCAGGACGGGCCCCTCCTGGGATCTGCGGCAGAGATCTGGGAGCCTCGGGGCAGGCTTGCTTGGCTGGAGCGTGGCCTGTAAGTTGGAAGGTTTTACTTTGTCCTGCAGCCAAGGAGCCAGGGCTGCCACCCGCCGGCTGGCCGTGTGTCCACGGTCTGTGGCCCCACTGGGGTCTCCAGCTGGGGCATCTGCTGGGAGGTGTGTGGCAGCCAGGCAGGCGCCAGGGGCTCTAGGCCGTGCTCACTCTGTTCAGGCGAGGGGTGGCTGCTGGCCATCCTGGGAGGGAGCTCGTCCGGAGCTGTCCTGCGGAAGCTGCTGTGGTGACCACAGGGCCTGTCCTGCTGGCTGCACGTGAGACACTGCCGTGTAACCAGGGCCAGGGTCGTCGTCGTGATCTATTTCACTTGACACAGCTCCTACCCTGGTCGGCGTGGGCCGGGGCCCCCGGCAGCCCGCAGGGACTTTGCGCAGGCCCTGCGGCCACCTTGGTGCCCCCTGGGCCAGGCTCCCTCTCGCCAGCATCTGACTCGCCACCACCTGTGCCCTGTCAATCTTACGCGCGTGTGTTCTGCCGAGGCCAGGGTATGGGACCTGAGAGGTTCACTCATGGGGAGAGGGTTCCTCTCCTGCTGGAGGCCACATGTGTCCTGAATGCTGGTCACAGGTCAGGGTTAGGTTGGGGGCCGGCCGGCCGGCAGCCTGAGGCCTCTGGGGCCTGTGCCTTCATCCCGGGAATGCAAGATGGCCAGAGCTGGCTGCGTCTTGAGGGCATCTCCCAAACACACCACCTGAAGAGGGGGAGTCCTTCACCAGGACTTGTGGCACAGCTGACCACGCGGACAGTGGCTCCCCTGAGCCTAGCTCTGCCCCTCGCACTGAGGAGCTGGGACTCGACTCGGCCCCGGGAGTTCCGGGGGGGACATGGCGAGTGGGCAGCTGCAGGGAACAGGTCCCTACCCAGGTCTGGAGCCCACCCTTAGCAGCGTCCTGTTGCCTCCTAGGTGGTGAAGGTGGGGATAGTGGAGCCATCTTCGGCCACGTCAGGTGACTGCATTCTCCGAGCCCTGGGCTGGGGGACAGTGCGGGGGTAGGGGTGCCGCGGGTGGCAGCCCCAGCGCTCATCTCCTGCGGGGCTTGAATTCACCAGGAATGGGCCTCCCTTGTCCCTGGAGGCCTGACAGCTCCTGCTCAGCTTTGGGGGAGGGGGGTCCTCCGGCTTCCCACAGGTGCGCCCCCGGCCCACAGCTGCCTGGCTTCCCGGCTGTGTCTGGGTGCAGAGGGCTGCCAGCTGCCCAGGCAGAGCCGTGGGGGAGCTCAGTGCCGCCCCCAACTCCTCCCCAGGTGATTCAGATGATGCGGCCCCCTCGGGCTCCAGCGTGCTCTCGTCCACCCCGCCGTCCACGTCTCCAGCGGCCAAGGAGGCGTCGCCTACCCCGCCCTCCTCCCCCTCAGTGAGCGGAGGCCTGTCCTCCCCCAGGTAAACGCAGCCATGCGGAAGTGCTGCCCCAGCACAACAGGCATCGGGCTGAGAACCAGGTGGTTCCTTGGGGTCCCTGACCGCACCCCAGGCTGCCAGGAAGCAGAGGGTCAGGGTGGCCTTGTGGGGGACACAGTGGTGTCAACAAAGGCTCACTCAGACAAGTGAGTTGGGGTGCCCTACTGTTCAGTCCTGGGCTGGTGTCTCCCCACCTGGCCCCCTGCATTCCTGGGGCCGGAACTACAGAGAGTGTAAATATAGGGTGTTCTGGACGCAGGGGCGGGGGCGGGAGGGGGCGTGGGGGGGTTGGAAACTCGGATGTGAGTAGCAGGCCTGGGATAGAGTGGGCGTGGTTATTGGCAGCCCCTCTCCAGTGCCCTCAGGGCTCTCCCGAGCAGAACCCATCCAGACAGGACTGCTGCAGGGTCGGGAGGCCCACTGTAGGACCCCCTGGGGCCTGCACCTGTGAGGGGCGGTGGCCTGGGCCCTCCAAACAGAGGTGGTCCCCGAGGTCGGGAGCACAGGCACCAGAGGGCACCCGTTCGCCCACACTGGCCTGGGGTGCTGCCGTCCACCACTGAGGACGGAGGGGTGAGCCTCCCTCGTCTTTCACAGCCAGGGCGTCGGCGCCGAGCTCATGGGGCTGCAGGTGGATTACTGGACGGCAGCTCAGCCCGCAGACAGGAAGAGAGACGCGGAGAAGAAGGACTCGCCCACCACCAAAAACACACTCAAGTGCACCTTCCGGTCTCTCCAGGTCAGCAGGCTGCCCAGCAGCGGCGAGGCCGCGGCCACGCCCACCATGTCCATGACCGTGGTCACCAAGGAGAAGAACAAGAAGGGTGAGGTGGGGAGGCGGGCTGACTGTCGGGGCGGAGGGGCTGCTGCGCAGGCCCCGAGGGTGCCGAGGGCCTGGGGGCCACTTTGTTCCTACACCCCTGGGCAAGGGCCTGCTGGCGGGCGGGTGGTGGCGGTCAGGGTCAGCGTGAAAGGAGGGCCAGAGGAGGGGGGTCCAGGGCCGGCAGGTCAGCGTGAAAGGAGAGCCAGAGGAGGGGGGTCCAGGGCCGGCAGAGCGCACCCCCCGCGCTGCCCTGGGCCCTGAAGAAGCAGCGGCAGCACAGCACGGCCCCCTTTCCTCCTAGTGATGTTTCTGCCCAAGAAAACCAAGGATAAGGACGTGGAGTCCAAAAGCCAGTGCATCGAGGGCATCAGCCGCCTGATCTGCACGGCCAAGCACCAGCAGAACATGCTGCGGGGTGAGCCGAGATGCCCTCTCGGGCGGGGGCGGGGCCTGTGGCCAGTGGGCGGAGTCTGTGGCCAACGCGACGGAAGTAAACCGGGGCGGGGCGGGGCGGGGCGGGGCCGCTTCTGGAGGTTCACCTCCGGAAAAGCGTGTTTGGCTGGGATGTCATGTTACGTAGTCTGAGCTCGGAGCACAGTTGGGAGAGCCCACTTGTGTGTGTGGAGTGGCTTTTCAAATTCTGAGAAATGATTTCTCAGCCCTTTCTGCTTCGTCTCAGAATTTTTATAGAAGATATTCTGCGACTGAGTGGTTGAGAACACGGAGGTCTCGAGTTCTCTCTTTTCCGTGGGCTTGGGTCTGACCACAGTGGCCCAGAGCCAGCCTTTCTCTGTTGATTTTCTGGCTTAAGTGGAGGGTGTTTCAGACCCCGTCTGCAGACCCCTCCGAGGCAGACAGGCTGTGGACACCAGCGCCCCTGAGGTGGCTGGGTAGAGGCTCTCCGGCCATGGGGAGGGGGTGGGGGCAGGCGGCAGGAAGGCCAGGAGGGGAGCTGGGGGTCCCAGACCTCCTCCCGCAGGGCCGATGAGAACCAGCGAGTGTCTCCCGGGAGCCTGGGGGTCCCTATGGGTGTCAGCACCCCCCAGCCTTGTTCTCAGCCGCAGCCTGGAGAGGGGGGCAGGCAGGTCAGGCGGTCTTGTCCCCACAGTCCTCATCGATGGTGTGGAGTGGAACGACGTCAAGTTCTTCCAGCTGGCGGCCCAGTGGTCCTCCCACGTCAAGCACTTCCCCATCTGCATCTTCGGACACTCCAAGTCCACCTTCTAGCCCCGCCTGCCGGGGGGCCGTGCCAGTTCCCGCCCTGCAGCCCCACGACGGCCGCGGCCGGGAGGGCCCAGCTGCTTTTCTGTTCACACTTCAGTTTACCACAGAGACAGACCCTTAAAACCCCAGAGAAACAGTCTTAAGTATGAACGCGCTCACAACCTGGAGACTAACGGGGCGGCCCCCACCGGGAGCCCGTAACTGCTCTGCTTATTAACCAGAATGTCCCGGCGGGGGTGGGAGGGCAGGCGGCATCACGGAAGGTGTGTTTTCGCCTCAGGACTCACCCCCAACCCGTCCCCCCAACAAGAAGGGTTCTTGCCTTCGTGTCCTGTTCTTTCTGAAAGCCAGGACTACTCTGCTTCCTCAGGGAGCGGGGGTCCTGCAGGTGGCCCCGTGGACCGCGGGCTGTCTGTGCCCAGGCAGCCAGCTGGGGGGCCAGGGGCCAGCCTTCTGTCAGGGACATCCTGAGCGGAACCCAGAGGCCAGTTAGCCCTGAAGCCGAGAGGGCCCCAGCGCCGCCCACTCTGGATCCCAATGAACTGCGGCCGGCGGCAGTGGAGGTTTTATAGTAGCGGATATTTTTAATGCTTTTAAATACATGTTAAAATGTAGCTGCCAAACAGACGTTGCTCTTCTGAAGTCCCAGCAGCCCCTGAGGACTGAGGCAGAGCCAGCCAGGCCGCCCCGGTCCCAGCCCCCACTCCCTGCACCCTTCGCTGCCCCAAGGCGCCACTTTGCTTCTTCGAGTCGTCCTGCCCCGAACACAGTTGCCTCCTCAGCTCCACTGCTTGCCCCCACCCCGGTCTCGCTTGCTAACTAGGGGTGTCTGTCACCTGCACCACTAATGTGGCCAGTGAGGCTCAGGCAAGTGGCCAAATCATAGGGGCCCGAGCCCCGTTGGCGCCATGGGCGCAGCCTGGGCGCCCTGCTTGTCTAGGCTAGGCTCCTCAGGGCAAGGGATTTGGGGTCTGGGTCCCCAGGGGGGGTCACCCTGCCCTCCCCCTCCCCGTGCAGCAGGCAGTGCGTGTCCTGACCTGAGGAGGGGTCCCTTCCAGACCTGCTCGGCCCCAGCCCTGCCCTGCCCTGGCCACTGGCTGCAGGCCTGGGTGGCCCACCCAGGGTCTCCAAGTCGAGTTTTCTAGGGCTGAGAACCACACAGGCTGCGCTCAGAAAAACAGTGCCAAACGCCAGACAGGCTGCAGGTCTTTCCCGCTCTGTTGGAGGATAGGACTCCAACAGCCCGTGGCATGGAAGGGTTCCACTCGGGGCTGGAAGATGGTGTATTTTTCTTATCTGTGACCTACCTGCTTACCTCCTCCCTCAGATGGCTGTTCAGGGTCCGAGTGGCCAAGAGCCTTGGGCCTACCAGGCGGACAGATCTGAGCATGCCCTTGGACCAGGGTCCTTGGACGGGAAGGATCTGGGTGAGGGTGTAGGTCACTGAGCCAAGGACCCCTTGGGCAGCTTGTGCAGTGTCCACCTGTGGCTGCGCCCAGCAGCTGCCTAGGACCCGTGAATTCCCCCGCCCTTGTTCCCACCACTGGCTTCAGGGCCCTGGGTACTGCTCCTTGCATTTCCTTTTCAGAGGTCACACTCGGGGGAGGTGTGGCTGAAATGACTTAGCTTTCCAGCTGCAGAGCTAGTTTTAGGGGAAGGGGCCAAAAGGGGCTGCCCCGTCCCACCCAGCTGTGAGCTGTCCTCATACCCATGAGAAGACACCCAGCACCTCCACCCTGGGCCAGCCACACTGTTCCTAGGCCCTGGAGGTCATACAGACAGCCCCAGCCGCCATGACTCACTCAGAGACCTAGGCTCTGCTCACGCCAGTGCCTCGGTTTCCCCGTCACCTGATTGGGGACAGTCAACACTTCCCCCGCCTACCTCATGGAGCTGTTTGAGGACACAGATAAAAGCACTTTGTCCCCCGAAGGAAGATGAGTCCGAAGCCAAAGCGGCCTGTGCCAGAGGTGCAGCCGTGAGCACACGAGGGCAGTGTGGGGCAGCTTGTGGAGAACACGGCCAGGCCGTGACCCCAGGGCAGGAGCAGCCCTTGCGGGGCAGGGGTTCTCGGCCCCCTGGGCGACCAGAGGTCGCTGGGACTCAGAGGCCGAGCCACTTGCCACATCAGGCAAGGCCTCGTGGGCCTGTGGCACATAGTGGGCAGGCTCCACCCTCACTCAGGCCAGATGGGAGGTCAGCTCCAGCCCTGTATCCAGGCCACGGCTTTCTCCCTCCTTGTGTCAAGTCCCCAGGGTCACCGTCTCCTCAGGGCTCGCCGGCCAGTGTCCCGAGTGTCATGGCCGCAGCTCAGGGAGGAGAGGGGCGGCAGGATTAGGGCAGCCAGGGCCGGCTATGCTGCACTGTCCTCACTGGCAGATACCAAGACCTGCCTGGCCTCCGTCCCAGGACGCGTTCCTCATGACAGGACTGCGCCGCTTGCTCCCAAAGGCCAGTTGCCTGACCCCTATACGTGTCCCCTGATCCCCTTCTAGAGACCCCTCCTAGCCTGCGGCGGAGAGGAAGCTGAGTTCCTGGCAGGAGCCTGAGGGGCTGGGCTTGGGGGCCCTTTCCCTGGGGTCTGACCCTGCAGGCCAAGGGGTGCCACTGTGCGTTCCTGCAGACCCCGTCCAGTTCTGTGTGTGTTGTTTGGTTTCTAGGATGTACGTGTTGCTTTCTTTTTTTTAATGGAAAACAGGATTAATGTAAATAGCGTTTTTTGGAAACAGATTCTAATCTGTCACGTATGTGACCACGTGGACTATTTTAAGGTGCTGATGCGACACTAATAAACCCGGGGAGCACTCCCAGGCCCTCCCTCGCCTGCTGTGTGATTCCTCTCGAGCAACCTCGCCCCTCCATCCGTCCAGGCGCGGGCACCGCGGGCGGACCTTCCGAGGCCCCCACACGCCGCGGGGACCCGGGGGTCGGGGCGCGGACAGCTGGGGGCATCTCCGAGGCGTGCCCCTCCGGGCAACGCGGGGCCGAGACTCCTCGCAGTCGCTAGATGAATCTCCGGGTCATGGACGCCGGGGCGGGACAGCGTCCGCCTGCACAACGGAAACCCGAGCGGCCCCTGACGACTGAGGCCAGGGCGCAGGCGCGCCACGAGCCGGAAGCGGAAGCTGTCGAGCGGAAGTTTTCTTAGGCTCGGCTCCGCCTTCTAGGGCATTCTGGAACCGGTGTGGGCCCCACCCTCCGACCCGCCCGCCACAATGGGCCGGGCCCGCCCCGCCCCAGTGTGCCCGGCCCCTCCTCCTCTCTTCCCCTCCCCCCCGTACCCCTGCTGTACCCGGGACGCCCAGCCATCCCCCGCCCCTCCCCACAGTTTGTGCACCCCGCCATTTGTGTACCCCACTTGTCCCCGTCTTCCTGCCCCCGGCGTGTCCCGCGCCTCCCCGACGGCCGCTGCACTCCACGACTCCCTCCCCTTGACCCCCTGACCTGCCCCCTGACCCCTGCACTCCACCCCTCCGCGGAGTGGGGACGGGCGGGCTGCCGTCTGCTGCGGCTCCTTCACACGTGGTCCTGCAGGTGAAGGGCACGGATCCTGGGCCCTGGGGTGTGGCCGGGCGTCGAGGTGAGGTCACAGGGGACCTCTGCGGGGAGATCTGCGGGAGGCCCCTTCTTTTTCCCCTGGTCGTCCTGCGCGCAGGCAGAGTCCCGAGAAGCTGTGCATCCGAGGAGCTGGAGCCACGGTGGGAGAGGGGGCATTCCTGGGGGAGTCTGAGGGGGGCAGGGCGGTGGCTGCAGCTACCCTGGCCTGGGGTGACTATGTGGAGAAAAATGGATGCAGGAGCAGGGGGACCCAGGACACCCAAGGGGATGGACCCTTTTGGGGCTCAGTGGCTGAGGCCCACCCAGCATTGTCTGGTCAATGGCTGGAAGCTGAGCCCAGCAAACCCTAATGTGACCTTCCTCTGCCTGAGGGGCCCAGGTAGCTGTGGGGACTTCGCCCCAGAGGTGCCGGCCAGCTGCCCAGGGGGCTGCAGATGGACAGCAGGGAGTGTTCGCTTAAGGCTTTCCTGAGGAAGAAAGCAGAGTTGCAGCCTTCCCAGGAGAAGAGGCAGCCCTCGGGGCCACCAAGCCCAGTGATGGCTTGGGGCTTGCCAGGTGCCCAGAGCAGCAGTCAGCAGGAGCCGCAGACTCAGGACTGGGTAAGCTAGAGGGGGGCTCCTCTCTCGAAACCTGTGTCCTGGCAGGGGAGTGTGGATGGAGGGGGGGGCCTCTGAAGCTGGGGGAGGGCCAGAGGGCATCTGATAACAAGCAGGTGCTGGACTGGGGGCTACGCAGAGTGTCAGCATTCTCTCCCCCAGAGCCCGGGGTGGGTATCAAGGTGGGCGCGCCCCTTCCAACCTCCCACAGCTATGGGCAGTCCACCTTTGCTGGCCACCCCAACCCCGGGTGCCGCCAGGTGGAGGGCACCTGGTCGGGGAGGCTCTGCGCACAGCTGGGATGGTGTTGTACTGACCAGGTAGGCGGGCGGTCAGCAGGGGACCTGTCAACCAAAGTCACGACCGAAACATTGCTGGAGGCCCTGCTTGGGGCTGGCCCCAGTGTTGAGGAACCCCCGTCTCATCCCAGCCGGCCGAGTGGGCCTCTGTCCGGTCACCATTCAGCCCTGGGTGCACAGGCCACAGCTCCCCTGGCCCCGGGGCAGCTTCCTAAGCAAAGGAAGCTAGGCCCCCAGAAGTTCCGGACAGTTGCCTGTGCGTCCGGGTCAAAGCCAGGTCTGATGGAGCCGGGCTGAGGCAGGCCAGGCCCAGTGGAGCTCATGCAGCTGTGTGCTTGGACCCGTCTGCGGGAATGTCTGCAAGGTCCCCAGTTTCTGTGGAAAGGCAGTGGAGGAGGGAAGCGGTCTCTGGGTGCCCTACCAGCTGCGCCCCCGCCTGAAGCCAGCCACTGCTTGGCTTCCATGAGGCCAGCCTCTCAGGACAGGCCATCCCAGATGTAAACACACAAGCATGTCGAGGGCTCCTTGGGAGGGACCGGGGCGGGGCTTCTGTCTGGCCGGAGTGGGGGGGGGGACCTGCAGACGGATGCCTGGACGGGGGTGACCTGCTGCGTTTGCACTCCAAGGGGAGGGGTGCCTGGGGACAAGGCCAGGAGGCGGCACAGTGGCGGGGGTCCTTGGAAGGCAGAGAGGGGGTGCAGACCTCGCTCCTCAGACCAAGTGTCCGACTTGGGGGCGGGGAGCCCCGCAGGGTCCCCCAACCTTGGCCGCCCTGTCGTCCCCTCCCGCCGCTTCCCTCTACTGCTCCCAGCCCCTGGGCAGCGGCAGCCGCGCCGGCTGCACGCCATCACTCTGACTGTCCCGCTGCGTCTGCCTGTCCTCTCTGTCCCTCCCTGCTGTGCCCTTGGCAGGGAAGCTTCTCCAGCCTCCCCATGTCGGGACCTCATCATCTCTTAGGGATGAGCCCGGCTGACAGAGGTCTGCCCCCCAGTCCCTTCTTCCCCGGTCTTCCCGGCCCGAGTCCCACGAGAGCCCCCCTCCCCTGCCCCGCGCTGGGGGGTACACATCCTCACAGGGTGGCCTCCTTGGGCTGGGGCCCAGGTCTGAGGAGACAGTCCCTCCTCCCCCAGCGAGGGTCCCCAGACAGACGGCCTCGCACAGAGGGCCTCCCGGCAGGCCGGCCAACACGGCTGCAGAGAACCCTGAGAAGGCGAGAACCCGCGGCGCAGGACTGGGCGGGTGACCGGCCCTCAGGAGACGGCGAGCCCTGTCCAGCGAGCGACCTTGGGGCGGGCAGAGCAGAGGGCTCAGCGCCCAGCTGTGTGGTGGGGGCAGCGGGACAGGCAGCTGCCCCAGCCAGGCCCCAGCCCGCCCATGTTGCTGTTGACTTAGTCCCTGCGGTAAACGCGAGTGAGCAACCAAGGGCACCAGACATTCTGAGAAGATCTCTATCGTGAAAGAGAGCAAGACACCTGGGAAAAATAGGAGTCGGAAGAGCCACAGTGCCAGGCAGGTCGGAGCGAAGCTGGAGGTGGGTCACCGTCCCCAGTGTGGCCTGCGCCGTCTCAGAAGCATTGGCCCAGCTGCTGAACAGGGGGGTCGGAGCGTGAACCCAGGGGAGGCGCTGGTGCCAGCACCGTGGGAGACACGCCTGCACCCCATTGGTGCAGGGGCTGCTCCGGAGCCCATCCACAGCAGAAGGTCCAGGAAGGGGGGTGCAGACGACTGCTCGGAAATCAGCAGCCCTCACAGACAGGTGCTGGGAGATGAATGAGTGAAAGAGGCATGTCTGGGAACAGGAATAGACTTAATAGAAAATAACGCAAGCCTGCATGAAACTTTAAAGCACCACAAAGCGTCACCAAGAGACTTGGCAATGGAGAGACACCCTGTTCTTGGAGAGCATGAGTCACTGGCTCGGTGGGTTCTCCCTGGCGGTTCACAGCCCACTCTCAGTAACAACGCAAACTGACAAACACGCATCGTCCCTTTCTTTGGTTGGGCAAACTGGTCACGTGGAAGAATAAGCCTAGGTGTAGCTCTAACACGTGTGAATTCATATCACAAAACTTCGATTATCAAACTATGGTGTCCTGTCGTGTGATACGTGACAGCAGACCTAAATATGAAATCTAGAAACTTCCTCAAAAGTGCCCGTGACGCTCAGTGTGAACGGGAGGCGGTGCCTCAGCCCCGCACGGGGGTGGGGGGGGGGCCTCAGTCCCCTGACCTGGGGTGGGACTGATACTGAGTGTAAACTGAAGGCGGCGTCTCAGGCCTGTGTGGGGGGGAGTGGGGGCGGGGTGCAGGGTCTCAGTCCCCTGACCTGGGATCTCAGTCCCCTGACCTGGGATCTCAGACCCCTGACCTGGGATCTCAGTCCCCTGACCTGGGATCTCAGGCCCGTGTGTGGGGGGAGTGGGGGCGGGGTGCAGGGTCTTAGTCCCCTGACCTGGGGTGGGACTGGCGCCCCCTGCAGTGGAACCATGGTGTGTTAACCACTGGACCGCCAGGGAATCCCATGGACTTTGGTAAATGTTGAGACAGTGTGTAGCTGTCTAGAAGAAGGTAACTTGTAGTCATCTCTCTCACTGAATACCAGGATGAAGGTGTCAAAGTTTTAAATGTAGAAAAATAAAATCATAAAAGTGCTAGGGACTTCCCTGGTGGTCCAGTGGCTAAGACTCCGTGCTCCCAATGCAGGGGGCCCGGGTTTGATCCCTGGTCAGGGAACCAGATCCCACATGCTGCAACTGAGACCCTGCGCAGCCAAATAAATAAAAATATATATATTTTTTAAGTGGTAGAAGAAACCCTGGGTACCTCCCTCTATGGCCATGGAGTGTTGGTTGCCCAGCGTGTCTGACTCTTTGCGACCCCATGGACTGCAGCACACCAGGCTCCTCTGTCCTCTATTAGATCTCCCGGAGTTTGCTCAGATTCATGTCCACTGAGTCGATGATGCCATCCAACCATCTCATCCTCTGTTGCCCTCTTCTCCTCATGCCCTTAGTCTTTTCCAGCATCAGGGGACTCTCAGTCTTCTCCAGCACCATATTTCAAAAGCATCAGTTATTTGGTGGTCAGCCTTCTTTATGGACCAGCTCTTAAATCTGTGCATGACTACTGGAAAAACCATAGCTTTGACTGTCTGCATCTTTGTCAGCATAGTGATGTCTCTGCTTTGTAATACATTATCTAAGTTGGTCATAGATTTCCTTCCAAGGAGCAAGCATCTTTGAATTTCCTGTCTGTGGTCACCGTCCACACTGGTTTTGGAGCCCAAGAAAATAAAATCTGTCACTGCTTCCACTTTTTCCCCTTCTATTTGCCATGAAGTGATGGAATCAGATGCCATGATCTTAGTT